TCCACCTCCAACTGTTGCTCAAACTAAGCTATATGCTCAACACAAATTTATAAAAAATAATCCATCTATACTACCTGAAATGCTCTCCCATGTGTAACCAATAAATGAAAGGACTACTGATGTATGATACATTTCAATTTGCCTCAGGAATACAAGCCAAAGCTTAATTGCCTCCACACACTGAACTGTGCAGTGAGAATTCAAAGTCATCATATTAGCCGTGCTGGATGTTTGGTTCTGAACAACGTTATTACCGACGTCCCCCGGCTCCCTATTTCTGCAGCTCTGAAAAAAAGTAGACAGTGAACCTTGCAGAAAGCTGCCGGTTGTATATTGGCAGGCCTACGACCGGTGGTGTAAGACAGTTACGTGGTTACAGAGTGTGTGTAACAGGCCGATAAGAGCAGTGTTGGGATAAAATAGAGGTGGGGTACGGTGAAGGAATATATGCCAGGCCAGTCATGGTGATTCACTCGGTTCATATGCTTTGTGCTTTCTGTCCCACTTCATGTCTCTGTGTCCATCTGATATCATGCGTCATGTGTCTTGGAAAAGCCTAGCAGAGATTCACTTCATGGAGATTTGGAAAATACTCGAACAGAAGAGACTTTACTAGATAAACTGTATAAAAAAGGCAGTGGGAAAAAGTGTCTGCTAATCATTATCTTCCAGAGATTTTCATAAAACCAACTAAATAATAGAACAATGCATGCGTTCCCCATAAGTGTGTGAATGATACGTACAAATAACATGGATTTGTGGTCACAATAAGGACTGTTTCCTTGCAAATATACACAAATTCAAAGACTCATAATTCAATAGCTTTGTAGAACCTGGGCTTACAAAAACAGTTGTGATGCAGTACTCTCTGGGGATTATTGATTAAATGACTTATTGATGGAAGGCTGCAGCCCCGAAGCTTGATATTGATTCTGGGTTTCCAGGGAATAGAGGAGACAGCCATAAAGAGATGTTGTAACTCATAATAGCCTTGCAGAGGCTAATAGGACATTGTGAATAATGTGGTACCATAATCTGAGCAGGGCTATATTGCTCATAAAGTCAGAATTTTGGTAGTGCATGCAAAAACCCATGTCAAGTTTTTGTTATCATTATGGGGGACTTTGACTCTAGCAATACCAAAACAATGGTTCAACAATCCAACCTGTAGCCTCTTAGAGGAACTTAAAAATGCAAAATTCCCTCAACCTTTAACTCATATTCTCCTAAAGTGTAGGAAGTGGCCTTCTTCTCAGCCTCACCCATTCTCGCAAACTTGAGTATTTCTGTGTTTATGACGAAGCACTGAAAATATGTTTTCTCCTTCTCTAAAGAGACAAGAAGGCGAGAGGGAGACAGAGAGAGAGAGATAAGTGTAGATATGCCTTTGGCAGTAGACGGTAATGACTTGCTGCTTTGCATGATACAAATGATAATGTGTTCTGGACGTATTTATGATAGAGCGGCCATTTGAAAAATGTGAAACTGAGGCTGCGGCCTAGCAATTTGTAAATATATGACCTCAGTTCTGAGGCAGACATTACAGCTTTAAGTTAGATTAATGAAACTGAAATAGGAACTTCACTCAGGTGCTGAGAAAAACAAAAAAATTGTTTCTATTCAGATGAACCTCTGTACACCTTGTTTTTTACACTGAAGTTGTCTCATCATTTTTACCATGATAATATAATCACAGTTGGCTGTGAGATAATGCTGCAGAATATAAAGAAAGTCTGATTTATGACAGCTATGGCCCGTCCTACAATACACCAATGGAGCTGAAATCGATGCTGGGAAAGTTCACGACCCTATTAGCAGGGGGTGGAATCATAACAGGTCTTAACTTAATGACGAGAGGTGTTTGAACTGAAGTTCTGCAATGCAAGTAGAAAAAAAAAAGCTTACATTCATGCCAATCAATATTCTCGAAAACCATTGCTGAAGACATTTCAATTATATTTAAATATCTACATTAACTAAAGGCTTGAAACTTTAAGTAAATATCAAAAAATGTATGCACAAAATCCACAAGCTAGGGTGGACTAAATATAGGTTTTGAGTGCATTCTTAGGAGAATATTGTAAGATCTTGATATTACAATGTCTTGGATGACACATTTATCAAATAAGTCTGTATCTATGTCCTTCATATGTGCTCTGCTTACAAAATTGTCTTTTTCTTCTTTCCTCACCTGCATCTCACTGCTCACTGCCTCTGATCATGCTTGACAGCTGTCCTTCCTTTACCTTGCCCTACGACACACACACATACACATTACTGAGCAAGTGCAGCACCAGGGGCATATCTCGCAAAGCAAAACAAAAAATGTAGCAGGTAAACTCCATCTGAGCACAATTAAATGAATCCCTCTTTACTTCAGTCTGTGTTCTTAACCACTTTTGAAGGAGTTAACTTAAAAGGTTTTATTCAGCAGGGTTGAGTTATACTGCAGCAAGAAAATGGCTCCAGGAAGCCACAAACAACCTTGCAAAACAGCATATTGATTGTGCTTTATGATGCACAGCTATGACAGGTTAAGGGATAAAATGGGGAGTTGAGAGACAGAATCAAATATCAACAGATTAAGGGTGAGAGAGAGAAGTGCTCCTCTGACAGACCGGTGCTGTTTGCACTGACAGAAATTTCATCTAGAAAGGACCACATGCCAATAAAACAATGTTAGAACTGACGCATTAGGTAGAGCTTTCTGTCTGCTCTCTGTGTGTGTCTGCCAAACCTCCCGCCTTCACTCTTGGTGGCCTTTTCTCAGAGCTTGGCATTTTTAATGTTGCCAACTTCGAAGCACAGGCTTTTTACGAACTGTAGAAACACAATTTAGCTAAACAATTTAGCCCCAATTGTGTGTCACATTTTATTCCACTGCAATCCCTTGGTAACGGAAGAACAAATCAAAGTTCCCATTAGTAGCCACATTTTGTATTTATATTGAGTGCTTATTCTAATGAATTGCAAGTCAATGAGCCTTTTAATTGTTTTCAGTTATATGCTGTGGCAAGATAATATTGTCCCTTACTGTTTGGCAGTTTATTGCTGTGAAACATTTTAAATAAGTCAGATGACCGTTTAACTTTCCACTGACCATGTGGTTTGGTTCATTACTATTACTAATAGATCATTTATGGTTGGAAGTGCAAACTCATTTGTGCTCTTATTTCTGGCCAAAACTCGGATCAGAATCATTCATACATCATACATTTAACAGCCTCTGTAAACACATTTTAATTTCAAAATAAGCATGGCTTAAGGAAGTTTCATGCCAAGGCAAATTTTAATTTACCAGTAAAATATGTTTTAATTGAGTCATTCTTTCAGTTAACCTTTTAAAGGAGCAATCCTCCTCAAAACAGCTAAAAACGTTGGCAAAAACAGCATTATCATCATCATCCATATAAAGTGGATGCTCGGGGCTTGGAATGTAGTTTATAGTTATGTATTGTGTGCCATTCAAATCACAGTTGCAGTAAACAATTGTATGCCAAATACTGCTTGTCTGAAGCCTAGCTCAATAGCCTCTTTAGATCTCTCAACAGAGAACAGCTTGTTTTTCCTCATCTCTCTGTCTCTCTCCAGACTTCTAATCCTGCTCCATTGTCTCTGTGCTGGTTTATGGAGGGTAAGGAAGGACGTGTACAGAAGGGAAAGCAGACATCATAATTAGAAACTCCCCATTAACCAGCGGTGTTCAATTTCACAATGTGTTTACCCTTCAATTTGAACCTTATCCTGTATTCAAATATATAGGGCTACATTAAGTTCAGCCTTGTGCCTGCCATTCACTTTGCAGTAATTTATTTTTGAATGCATGCATGAACAATAACAGGCACTATTTTTAACACTACTTAAAGCTCACAAATAAAACCGGATTGCTTTTCAATTGATATAGGCCTGATATTGCTTGAGTTATTGTTATCTAATCACCAGGTCCTTATATTGACATTAATGTTGTTAAAACGTTGGCATTGATGATTATAATACGAATAACAGCAATCAATTGTGTTTTTAAACAGAAGACACATTTTAGAAATGTGGGGAAAAGTCTGATATCTAAGGTTCATTTCAAAGACTCATTATCAAATTCTTACTAGCAACAAAAGAACATAAGCTGATCTCTTAACACGAGTCATTAATTTTGTATACTTTTCTGGAAAATTCTTTCTACAAAACAATGTTATATTGCATTGGTTGAGACCATGTTTGTTTGTTAGGTATTCAAAGTACTATGATAACTAATTATTATGACTTGTACATTACACGATGACTACCATGTCATCATATTAATCTAAGCAAGCCTGTTATTTGAGCGTGCAAAGTATACATGCAAGGTTTCAGGAATGTCTGCAGTTTTATAAAACAACCATAGGCTATAAAGACTTTTTTTTCTTTCTTATTTTTGATGAAAACAGGAGCTGATCATTATAGCTAATGTTAGCTTAAATGCACACATGAGTTCTAGGAACATACTCTGCCATCATGTGGTTTCTGTTGAGTTTTGAACATGTTTTTATTATTCTATTCCTATTTTTAGCACAAAGAAAACTCCAACTTAAGATCTAATTATGTAACATGTTTTGACAATGGATGTATAAAGAGAACATGTAAGTCGGTGTTAGCCAAGATAGCTTTTATTTTTTTGTTGCCCGATTTGAATGGCTTAAAAAATCAATTAACGTTAGCTTACAGCTGCGGGTAATGTTAAACATACGTACAATTAGACACATTAAAGACCATAAGCGGTGATTAACATAACACAATTATTAAAACAAAATCGCTCATGACAAAACTACTAGTTTAAATATTAACGTTGCAACTGTAAGGAGAGTGTTTTTCACCTGCCTCCGGTAAGGAGTTTCACTTTGTTTGTAGTGCTTGCTTGTCAAACGGGTTTTCTCTCTCCAGCCTCTGCGTGTCTCTACCGTTCACATACACACAGGAGACTACAAGCAGGAAGTAGAAAAAAAAACAGACAGGAGCTCATGAAAACAAGGAAGTAAACGCTGTCGGATCGAAGCAGGAGCCCCTTTTATGCTCTAAAGTGAACGCAGATCCGTCGACAGCTCAGTAATAGAATTCAAAGCACCACGGCTGTGCTAAGGAAGTTAGCCGTCAAGCTAATTCCTCCACTTATTTTCACAAAACAAGCCTTAGACGGAGAAACAGGAAGGAGACAAAGACATGTAAGTACACTGCAGAGTTGCAAACCGGTAAACCCCACAGGAATAGGGAGAAAATGTCTGTGTATGTGTGTGTGAGGAAGCACTGTATGAATGTCTGAGAGAGAAGTAGCAGAGAGAGAGAGAAAGCTGTGGCAGAGGGGGAGTCTTTTCTCTGCATTACAGCATCTTTCTTCCGGTTGTTTGTGTCAGCAGTGGGGAAAGAGTACACAGACATAGCCCAGGAGAGGAGGGCTCAAAGGAGGAATGGAAAGTGAGGAGAAAATGAGGGTTCTTTCTGTGTACAAGTCATGCACCTCTGCCTAAAAGGCAGAGGTGCATGACTTGTACACAGAAAGAACCTTTCTCTCTTTCCTTTTCACCCCTGCAGAGTGAAGTGAAAGTAGGGTGAGAGGGCATGAAGATAAACAAACAAAAGACGTAAAGGTCAGGGCCTGGTGCCATGCAGAGGAAGGTGAGATAAGAGTAGCGTGGGTGTTTGGTCATGCCCAGGGTATAGCCATACTCAGCACTTTCTGTTTTCTGAGTTAGTAAACAAACTGTGAACACAAAGACAGTAAGGTGACTGCAGATGGGGTGTCCGTGTTTATTGTCCTTGCAAAATGATGATTTTGTGTAGATTGTGTTGCTCTGGATGTTGTTTCTTTGTGTGTACCCCTCCATATATCCTCTGCTAACATCACATCAGAGGGGATTAGTCCAGAGGATCTTGGACTTTCCCCTGTGCAAATATGAGAGCTGTTCACAGAAGGTCACAACTATTAATATCCTGTCCTCTACTCTGTGTGTCTCCTATAAGATTAGTCCTTTTATCCCCAGAATTATTATCAGCCACCATGGACCAAAAAGGGGAACCCCAGGATGGAGCTGTGGGGCTGAAACATGAGGAGCTGCCACAGATGGATGGGTCATGTGATGCCTGCGAGCCTGACGAGGCCCAACCGGCCACACACGTGTGCTACACCTGCAGCTTCGCCTTCTGCTCTGTCCATGCTGACAGACATGCCAGCAGCACACATCACCCCATAATGCCTTACAATCACGAGGGGACACAGGATAATGGACTTGGCAACAGCAGAGACTTTAGAGTCGGAGATGGAGCTGAGGATGAGGCTGGTGTGGAGAGGGCAGCTGGGATGGGCGCTAATCAGGACATGGCGCTTCTCGGAGGGGCAATGGCTAAAGGCGATGAGAGTGGTGATGCTGTGGAAAAAGATGGAGCTCAGAATGGCGTGCAGCTGGAGGCTGAGCCCGGCGATGGGGCAGAGGGCGCAGAAGCAGGGCAGGAGGCCGCGGCGGCCGGAGAGGCTGGGAAGAATAACAACGTGACAGTAGAGAGACTGCGCTGCAAGGAGCATGAGCAGGAAGGCTCCCTCTACTGTAAAAATGATGAGAAAGTCATCTGCGTGGTGTGCGCCGTGCAAGGTGAGCACCGTGAGCATGAGATCATCACGCTGTATGAGGCCTACGTCTGGCAGAAGGTGAGTCACACACTCGGAACACATCGGGTTAGGTATGGGCAATATATTGATGCTAATATCATTATATCCAAATCCAAATAATGATTATATATTTTTATAGGCCTGCATAACATAATCAAAATGTTCACAAAATCACAATATGGACTAGTACAATATGCAAATCGCATGAAGATATCATTCTGAATGAAGTATTGTGGTCCTTCAGAGAAGTCCTGCCATACTAACAGTACTCTACTCACTTAATTAAAACCCTTTATAACCGTTAATTTACTTAATGATTTAATAATAATGTGAATAATTTTTCAAAGTTTATCATTCCCTCTGCCTCTGATATCGCAAGTCGCAATATCAGTCAAAATATCGCAATCAGTTATTTTTCTCCAAATGTGATGTCATGATCAACACTGCAATCTCAACAAGATATTTGTTAAAAAAGACCATGATAAATACATTTTGTCATATCACCCAGCCCTATGACAAGTGTGCATAAGGTAAAACTCCGCTGTTTTATTTACAACATGCTGTCTACTGTAGTTGAACACAATGTCTTCAACTCTGAACTCTATGACATAAAGTATTCAAAACATTGTCTATCTGGTTTGCATTTCAAATTCAGGCTAAATAATATGTCAACAGCTGTAGGCTATGCAGTCTTTAAGTCAACTCGTTAGGGCTCTGTAATATTTTAAACATAACAATGTATGATCACCCACATTATCTCATTAATAAATGGATTCAATTACACGGCTACATAAATAATTCCGAGGAAAACTGTGAAATGGAAACATTATGAATATATCCCATTTATGTTTGGCTTGATGCCAATTCACCCTTCCTCCATTTCCCAGATGGCTTTCTGCTTCAGGCGTATTTAATAGGTCTAGGGAGTCAAAAGTCATTGAGTGCAGCATTGCAGTTGGTCCAGTAAGCCGGGCAAATGCGGTGCTGGATTGTGAGAATAACTCCATCATCACTCAGTTCTGCAGAGCATGGTGTTTGTGGTGATTATAGAACCAGAGGCAGATGTTATCAGCCCACTAAACACATTCAGTATGGGTTATTGCACAAAGGACCAATTAACAGCGGTGTGATAGTATCAGAAACCAGGACTTAGTTTTTGGATTAATATTTCAAACATTCAAGGGTTTTGTTTGTGGACACTGAAATAAACTGAATGACAAAAGCGGAGCATTTAGCTGCAGAAGTGACGACCCACATCGTGTGCTGAGTGTAATTTACAGAGCACGAGTTTTGTCCTTTACCCTGTGAATGCACATCTGAAAAACAAAAGTAGAGCAGTACAATTTAGTGGTCTACTCGTGCATCATGGCCACATATGGAATTGATTGATGAGACACACATGCACATACACACAGCCTAAGGCCACATTATTTACCATAAACCTACTGTAGGTTTTATCCTGCTTACTGTGTCAGTGTATTCATGTGAAAGATCCATTTATCTCGGACAGTATTGATATGATGGCAAACCATAAAAGTCAAAAGTTATCTGTAATTGACTTGTCACAATGGATTTTCTTTCTAAAAGCAAAGATATTTTCATAATATCATTTTGGTAAAAAAATACGATGCATTTTGTCTGTATTTGTATACAGTTATAAACTGATATATAAGCATACAGTAATTTGGTTCTCCTCTAAATGATTAGTGGAATGACGTACTAATGTTGAAATGTTGTGTGTTTGTGTGCCCCGCCTGTAGAGCAGGGAGGGGTATGACCTGCTTGGCTGTACACAGCGGATGTCTGAGACAATCAAGACCAGGTGGACCAACCCCGAGGTGAGTTCAAACCCCTGCTCGCAGAACAGTGAGTCCATTCCTAACACAAGTTACACAGTCAGGGCAATATATAGAAACCCTTCCCAAAGGACTTGAACTCGACTGTTCTCATTAAGTAAGGAGCTCTTATCAAGTGAAGTAGGAATTGATCTGCAGTAATAAAAGTTTGACTTGACCTTCTTGCAAGGAATGAAAGCAGTGCATCAGCCTGATACATTTACTCTGCAGACCCTGAAGGTCTATTTTTTATATTTAAATGTATATATTGCAGCTTCCCAGGTCTCTGCCTTTCCTAACAGCCAAGTTACAGTGTGACGATCTAATTTGCAGACCATGAATCTTTTATTCATATTTTTGTTCCATCTTGAAAAAGCTAGTATTTTTATAAAATAGGTTATGTCTTATAGGAATAGACCATCTTATTATCTTTTATCTCTGGTAAGGATATGTTTTCATCTCTCAAAGCTCATATCAGGGGAAAGGAATCAAATGTGAAAAACAGTGATGAGGCTGCATACATATTAATGGAGGACAAGAGGCGTAACCTAACTCGAAAGGCCTAGATTGCTGTGCGTCATTCAGCCTGTCAGCTTGCGTTGCCGGGGTAGATAACAAAAAAACGTTGGTTGAACCTGGTTTCAAGACATGATGAGCCATAACAAAGCAACACAGAAACAGCCATTACTCATTTCTAATTCATTGTGTACAGCAGTAGCAGTATATAGACTGCAGCGGGGAAGCATCCAGAATGAGATAAAGAAGGATTTGAAAGAGATTATGTCATAAAGGCGTTGGGTAGAAAACATGAGAGACAATTATTTCCATCCATATATTTATCATGCAGTCCCATTCACACATCACATACCTTGCCTATTGGTGTTCTGCAGATATAATCCATCTTAAGGCAAAGGAGTGATGGCATCATTGTGTGATGACTAAATCATGAAAGGTCAGATAGGCTTTTTCTGACTCAGCCCTTCTGTGCTAGTTCAGAGGTTGTATTTTCAAAGAGACTTTGATTTAACATTTTTATGTATACAATTGAAAGGAATGAAGAGGAAATGTGGCTCACAAATGTAATATTTATTACAGGGCTATTTTGGTCTACATATAATTCACTTTTTCATTTCACACACACTTCTATACTCATACAACCAAGGTTTTCCTCATCTTTATACTGATGGCATTGTTGCAACCTTGAGCAAAATCATATTATGTGGTAGTAACTGACAGAGGTCACACACATTGGTTTGTGTGGCTCAGATTGTACCAGCCAATCTTGTGAATTGAAGACATGAAAAAAGAGTCACTAGCTCAAGTTATGTTCTTAACTCCATTTCAACATTTCTGTGTGACCTTCATCAGGTTGCCATCTGAAACGCAGCATGCCTGGTCACCTCTTTCTTAATAGCAACCCCAAAAAAGCTGCAAACTGAAATAGCAACCCAAAAAAAAAAGCTGCAAACTGAATTTTCATGCCAAGTCAACCTTGAAAACAGTGGCAGTATTTTCCATTACAGATGCCATATTGAGGTCATGTTGTGCCACTGAAAATAAAACCTTTGCGCAGACGGTTATGTGTTATGCAGTGAGAGGTGTTACAGTGAGCTACAGGATCAGGTCTCAGCTACTTAGCGTCGACACAGCTGCACCTGCTCTCTCAACCAACCCCTGCAACGCCTGTTCTGCCTTGTGCTCTGCTTAAAATACTGTGCGTGAACCCACCAGAGAGCAGTGGCACACCGGAGAGTTGCTCAGTACCTGCAGAGACGTGACCCAAGCACAGTGGCATAATGAAGAAGGTTAATTTGGCTGGCCTGCCTGAGAGGTAACACTTTTACCGGCAGCCGGCACCCCACCTGAGTTCATGGCGATTATCATACTGAAATATCAATGCTGCCCCAAGGACTTCCTGGACATTCAGTGTTGTGCTGTTCAGCTGTAGAGGTGCAGTGTGCTCGGCTAAAAAATCCACTTTCCTGCTCACTCAGAGGCCACTATGTGAGAGACCTTTATGTGGATTTGTCGGCGTATCCACTCTGCTCTCTGAAATGTCAACGTTTGTTATTATGCATGACAGGCGACCATCAGAGTGACGGCTCCTGGTTGTCTGTGAGAGAGAGAGAGAGACAGGGGAAAACAAGAGAAAGACAGAGGCTGGAGGAGCTTAAGTTGTGTGATATTGACTTCCTAAATGACTTCGGAGGGGAAGAGGTGTGAGCAGCTGTCAGTAAGGGGGTGGAAGGGTGAATGCAAATATTTAACCCTTAGCTGGTGTTTTCTTATTAAAACTAGCCTGCATAATTATCTACTTTCCTGCAGGTACAGTGATTGTAATCTCTCAAAGCTCATATCTCCGCTCTCCACAGGGGAATGGAATTTAATGCAAAAAAAACCAGTGATGAGGCTGCATACATATTAATGGAGGACCGGAGGCGTAACGTGACATGAAGGACCAAGATTGCTGTCTGTCAGCTTGCGTTACCTATCGTCGAAGAGCTGGAAATGATATGTGAATCATGTTGTGGCTTTAGCAGGTAGTCAGCGTATTTATCTCGCTCTCATGTTTTATTTACTCATTTTGCCGGGCAGGGTGTCTGCTGAGATGCACACAGCCTGTGGAGCCTCTCTCTGCAGCTACAGAGAGAAAAGTGGGATATCTGAACAGCAACATCAGCCCATTCACAAATGTGCATGTGTGTGCAGGAGCTACATCCGCTTTCCTCGCCTGATACAATCTACGAGAGAAGTAGACACATTAAGGCTGTCTTAGGGAGCCGAGGCTGAGGAACAAGCGGAAGTGGCATGAAAAGACTTGGCTGCTACTGTTAGGTTTATTCATCCTGTGTTTTCTTGCCCTTCTCTACCTCATTCTTTTTCTTCCTCTCCCCTCTCTCATTGGAGGCTGTCGTTCCCATTCCATCTCCACTCAGAGCGGTTTTAATTGAATTACTCGGTATCATTCCCCAGAAAGTTGCTTGGCTGACATTGCCTCCCTCAAAACTAATAAAAAGGTGCTGGATATTGAAACTCTGCTGTTATAAAACCAAAGGCCTTCTGTCTCATGTTTCCCTCTCTCCCCTGTTCATTCTCTTACTACCACACTTTATATTACTTTGAAGAGCTAGCATTTGACAAATGAACTTGTATTGCTGTGTTGTGTTAGAGGTTTAATTGGAGAATCTCATCTCTGGAAGAGATAAAAGAGAGCGTGAGAGAGTAGTGTTCACTTGGAACGGGGCCACTATTGCTAAGGGCAAGGACAGTTCAGATCCATTTACTCCTAATGTTCTATTAATGCTTTTTAAAAAAGCATCACACAAAACAGATATCGGAAAAAGCAGCGGAACTCGCTCTAATTTCAAAGAAAGTTAACCATTTGAACTCTCGTGCTTCCAAAATGTTAGCTTTTAAGAAATATCAAAGTTGGATAAAACATCTCTTGCAGATCCAAAAATAATATATTCCGCATCTGCATTTTTCATCACTTCATTGAAGCTGCAGGAAGCTTAAATTTAGGGAAATATTCTCGTTCAAGATGGCACTATTTTTTCTGTACCTTTGATGTCTTTGGCATCGTGTCGTGATGTCATTTTGAACAACACATTTGATGTCTGTGAAACTTTGGGATTTAAAGAGACATTTAAATGGCTTTTGGCCACAGAAATGCGTGTGATGATGGACCCACTGATGTGATGTGTCCCTGTAGATGAAGAGGTCAAGATTAAAACTTTGACTACTTTGATATTTGCTGTGAGCTGTTTTCAGATGACTTGATTTAAGTGTGTCCTCTAACCCAGGGGCTCCCAAAGTGGACCCCGAGTGGGGGTCGCGAGATGATTACAACATTTAAAAAAGAAAATAATCAATTTTTTTTTTAAATTATTATCAATAATAACGTGTGCATAGACATTTTTCAGGGGCGGACTGGCCATCTGTATAATTTCCCCGCAGCGAGGCTCCCCCTGTTGATAATCCACTAGCGCAGTGTTTCTCAAACTTTTTCATACCAACCAAGGACCTCTTAACCAATAAAAAAACACCCACGGACCACCTAACTCCACAAATATCCCAAAACAATAGGCCTGCTTACCACTCCAACAGTACATAACAGCCTAATAATGACAGCTTAACCTTCTCTATATCGCCTCGTTCACACAATAAATCAACAATACATGGATAAATGTTCATAAAATGCATCCATTGTTTGTTCTATATGCTTCTTGAAATCCTAAAAAACACATTGTTTTTCTAGAACAGATTACAAATCGCCAGAAAATGGTACAAACAAGTGGCAACATGTGTGACGAAGGTGTTGCGCTGGGCTATATCATGCAATCGAAAGTGAAACTTAAGCTCGCTCCATTGAATACACTAGTGTGTGAAGCTAATTCGATTTGAATGTCTTGCCAGGTTATAATCAGGTGAAGTGTTTGTGGAAATTCTAAGAAGAGTTTTATTTTTAGCGAATCACAGTTCCCAGCTCTCTGATTCTGAGGAAACATTTTCAAACACAAGGAGTTTTTTTTCTTTCCATGGTAAGTCACTTTCAGACCAGCTCGGTGCAGAATACATTGTATATATGAACTCTGAACTGACGTGCCGTTTTGGCATGTGTTTGCAGTACTATCATTCCTGTATTTCTCCGACTATGACAACGCCTGTGTAAAACATGGCTGCTTGGAACCTGTTTGGAGGCTGTTCGCTTGTTATTTCCAACTTTTCTTATCGTGAACTAGGCAGGTTTCCAAATTGCACCATCTTTGTTATGCATGCTCTTGGGATACAATCGCCATACACCTGCCAATTGTAAATGTGTAGACATACACATACAGACAGAAATTCCCTGCTTTACAGATTGATAACAACGGTTCTACAGTAATAATTGAAGTCATTTTAGAAACACAACCTGAATCGAATTTGGTTTTCCTAATCTTCTTGCCTAACATCCTACCTGCTTGAAAAAGAAATTAGCTTTTCCTAATCTGCCAGCCTGATGTCCTGACTCTGCCTGTGCTCTCTCTCTCTCCCTCTCTCTCTCATCCCCTGTCCTTACTCTAACTCTGCCCTTGTAAGCAGCGTGCCACTGTCTCTCCTGAGGCCTCATTTTGTGGCCTCAGCTTGCAGCAATGCAAATGAAGCTTAGTACGCATGAGTGCTCCTCCCTTACTAGCTGGACAAATTCTAAGAGAAATTCTGTCACTGAGTGAAAGGTCCAAGGGCAGAGGGCTCTTGTTCCACATACACAAAGAGCACTGGTCCAGGATCACGCCTCCCATCTGCCACCGAGGCCACAGGGACTCGATGATAGGGCAGGGGGCTCTGTGGAAGTCCCGGAGATTGGGAGATTGGATAAAGGAAAGTGTCAGAGGACAGATAAGATACTAAACATTTTTATGTTACAATTCTTTCGGCCCCACCCATGTTGTAGCTCTGCTCTTAGCTAGCATTGTTCTCCATGATTTAAAGCTTTCCGTCCATTCTCTGAATCCTGTTGTTACCACAACTGAACAAAATGTGGACATTTTCAATTACTTGTGTAGGTAAAATGATGCCATGTAAAGTGAAATGAGACAGGAGGCGTTCATTCAAGATGATCTGTTGTCACCAATGATGCCCAACTATTTCACTTCTGCACCATAAGTATTGTACGAGCCAAAATGCTTATTTGTTGGCTCCTACAAAAAATAAGTGTGAGCTAGGGCAGACATTTTCTCTTGAACGTTTGGTCCTTCAAAGATGATTATTTATATTATTTGCTTTATTCAACATGATCAACCACAACTGAAGCAGTAGGCTGCATTCCTTCTGTGTTTATGTTTCTCTGAACACAGTTTGGAAGTGCTGCGGCTAGTCCATTGGAGACTGCTTTTTTGCCTGTGTTGTGCTTGCTGGTTTATGGCGATATCAGCGGAAGAAGTTTGGACTATTGGAATTGTTTGTACCGCTGTGACCACCACGCACCGCTGAGATCAAACCCTACAAAAGCGACAAGATTGATGTGAATGCTGTTGTGTTGCTGTAAATCTTTTAGGAACGGTGCATACTAGAAAATCCAAAATGAGTGTTAAAAACAGAAACGAGAATGGAATGTGCAGTTTATCAAATGTTGAAAACAGGAAAAGCAAACGTACTCATGGTTCAAGATCCAGATAATCGACCTATACATCTGCATATATATATAAAAGCCAAGGCAGAAGTGGCTGCTATGATTGTGCTATAAAGACTGCTTAAAGACAAGCATGCAACAGGAACAGGAATGAAGTAAGGAAATGTGATGAGCCAAGTTTTAGCCTCTCAGCGAGGGAACTTATTGGGAGTTTTGCCACTACAAGTATAGAAGAGATGGCTAAATTACTCAGTTTTGTCCATTACGCCACCTTTATATGTAACTGAACCCTGAGTTTCACTATGGGGATTCATAAAGGGTTGTCTTATCTTATAGTGCCTTGTCTGAACTATGCTAACGTTTTTACCATAAGCTAACATTAGCCACAAGCTACTGATCATGAATTCAAATTGAAATTACATTTTAAAGAGGATTATTGGACAATTGCAAACATAAAAATCGATATAGTTGTACTTTAAGTCATTGACAGACTAGCCATTTAAAAATAAATAGCTATGGTTTAACTCTTCATCAGTATACAGGCATAGTTCAAAAATCCAAAGGTCTGGCACCAGAGGTATAGGCAATGGCTGTTGACTGGAAAACAGGCAAAAAGTCAGGTCTCAAAACAAGGCTTGTTAAAGTGGCTTAAGAGCTTTGCAAAAAAAACAAGCCGATCTGGCACAGGCTTGAGGGAGACTGAGGCTTAATTTAGAATCATGAAATGGTTTTAGTGCCCCGGTGATTGTTTGAAGATGCTCACTGTCAGGAAGCAGCTCTTGAAAGATGCACCCACACACAGCGAAGAGCAGAAGTACCAGGAAAGGCTGTGACAACTGTAAAGAAATTAAGAGTAAGACTAAAATTGAATATGTAAATCCATCATGGTGTCCATGACACCTCAATCAGCGCAAGATGCTTCATACTCTAAAACATGAGCAACAGCTTAAGCATTACATTTTTTTCCCATTACGAAATGAGGTAGTAAATGCCTTGTCATTTTCTTAATGTGTTTTCTAAGTGTTCACTGCTCACATTTAAATTGATGAGTCTTCTAGAAGATTTAATCATCTTGTATTGTAATTTTGTTGGATTTATTATATTTGAGCACTCCCTTCTATTGCCCTGTGCGTTAAAGTAAGAGAACTTTCAAAGGCATAGAAAGATACATTTGGAAAAGGATGCTTGATTCACACTACTCTTTCACATTCAAAGATATGCTTCACTTGAGTATCTAGACAAGAAACGAATCAGGTTGCTAGACCAAGGCAGTAGTAGTCAATTGTTCCTAGTTAATTAGAAATATTTTCAGGTTATTGATTTTTGCTGAACCAAAAAGAGAAAAGGACTTTTTGATTTCGAATTAGATGTTAACTATGTCCCTTCGTCTGAATCAAAATGAGCAATGTGCAAACTTTTGTTTGCTCATACAAAGAAAGTAAATTCAAAATGTTACTTCTTGAGCTTGGTTTAATGGCCAATTTGGAAAATCTTGATTGCTTGTACTGAAAATGGAATATACACAATGAAAATGGAATATACACAATGAAAATGGAATATACACAATGAAAATGTGGGCCCCCAGGGGCATTGGCTCTGCCAACCTCCGTAAAGACTTATGATTCCTCGCTTCACTGCAGAGAGGGAGGCTGGGGGAAGCTAGGTGGAGAGGAAGAGAGTAAGGTTCTGCTCGAGGGAAGAGAAGAGACTGAGCAGCTGATGTTCATAGATAGAAGGGGTTATAACATATTCAGAAGAAGAGATCATGACATGGAGATTTTGGGGTGTTTTAGCTTAGGACAGAATTTGTGCTGGAGGTGGAGCCACATCGGTAGGGGAGCCATCTGTTAATTGAGGTGTTTTTTAACCTAATGAGTCATAGCTAAAGAGAGTTTCATCAGGGAACAGGGAAATGGATTAAAACGGGTTTCTCAGTGAGCTGTTCAGTTGCCTTGAAAGCCAAACAGATGGCTTTCTGTGGTAGAAAGAGCCTCTGAGGTCTCTATCTACAGATGGGATGCACGGAGTTCAGCTCCAGGGGATCTGCTTCATGCTATCAATTAGCTACTGCATGATAGAGACCAGCGGGCTTATTAAAATAGTATTCACATGTCGACATAAAAGTCAGAAGACTTTGCTGCTCCTATATTTTGGGTTTATGCATTACTCTTTTTTTTGCATCTGGATGTTCAATTTACATTTTTTTAAATTCATCTCATCTAATTTTTTACTTGTTTTATGTCTATCTCTGATCATTTGGACTTCCTGGACTTACATTTGCCCAGTTCATTCCTTCACTTACACTCATCCCCCGCTGTCTCCTATACTTCGTCTCCATATCTTAGATGTCAGTGGAAGAGCTGGAGGCCTATGTGAACAGCCAGTTCGATGAGCTACGCAGACTGGTGCGTCTGGAGGAGAAGAGGACCCTTCATCTGGTAGACCTCAAAGAAGCCTTCCTAACGGCATCCGCTGCTGAGAAAATCGCTGAGATCTCTGTCGAAACGGAGCGCCTGCAGGAGGAGATGGCCAACATCACACACCAGCTGTGCCTGCTGGAAAAGGCGGAGGCGTTGGGCCCTGCGGGGGCAGCAGTAGCTCTGGCAGCGGTACCAGCCCACAGAGTCCAGGTGAGAAGAACCTTTCTTCCTTATCGTCCTTATTCTGATCCTTAAACTGCTTTCACACAATCAGCAGTCTGTATCTCACTTACTGCACAGTTACAGTGAAAGTAAATAGAAAGGTTAGCAAGTTTATAATGTCACCAAAGCCCAGTGGATTTTAAAGCTTTAATTGGCACTTCGGAAACTGTGACACACACCATTTCACCTTCTTTATATTGCTGCTTTACATAAGCCTCAGTCTCATGCATTAGACTTCATTAGACTGATGTAGATAAAGGTGCTAAAATGTGGCCTGCTAAATCTAAGGTGACTTCTTTGTGGAAATAGTTAATGGGGTTTTTCATACCAGTTATAACTATCTTCTAGACAAGAAACTACTCAGAAAATTGACTTATTTATTTTGTATGGCTGTTGACAGTATTTTAAGATTTATTGAGTTAAGTAAAGATATAAAAAATGTCCTCTGTAAAAACCCTGGCTGTCATACATGAACAACATGAAACGACCATTTAGAACCTGGCTTTATTACATTTTCAGATTCCTGTCCTGGAAATGTATTCAAAATAATAAGATATACCTCAATTTGCATATTTTAAGATAAGATTTTAGGAAATATGTAATTTAATAAAGGTAAGTAATCAACATTGAACGTTTCATGGTGAAATCTGACAGTTAATTATGTGACGATATTTACCTGTAGTGCCTCCTCTCAAGTTAGGCTTCAAAATGTCCACTCTTTTACCAAAGGGAATCCAATTATACTGAATGCACTTTTTTCAGAGATGAAAGTTGGTTAATAACTGGTGAGCTTTTAACTTAATTCACATAGCAATCTTAGCTTGTTATAATCAAAATGTATGGCCAAACACGAAAACAGTTACAAAAATGAATCCAGAGACTCGTATTTAAGTAAAGCTTAAATTACAAAATAAAATGACAAGACTCTATCTGATGAGATCATATTGATAGAGCCCAAACAAACACGGTCAATGATAAATTAACGTAGACTTTAAACACAGAGTTCTGCTGCCAAAGCAGTTACTGAGGGCAGCCTTGTAAAACTGGCACTATTGCCTTGTCAATAAACAATTACAAACAATTTGCCAGCCAGCAGAAAGCTGTTATGTTGCTGATCATCTGTATCCAACTTTACAGAGCATGCTGTAGTAGATATTATTTCAAATGTAACCTCAACCTGTCTTCCTTTGCTTATGATGCGACTTATCTTTGTTATATTTCCGCTGATGGGGAGTCGGTCCGATGCGCTGCTTAAGGACACTTTAGGCAGGGTATCCTCAATGCTAGCAGCCATGGGGTGTGATCCCAGGCCTTCAACTTAAACTATTATCTTACTAATGACCGCTGCATCTGCTACATAGTCATTATGGCGAAAATGAATATGGTAAACAGGTGCCGCAATACACAGCTTTGTTCCAAATGAAAGGAGAGACCAGCTGTAGTTATCCGGGCGTATATTATGTTGAGAAAAATGCAGTTTTCCTATCATACAGTCAGCTGTGTCAGTGTGATACAGGTAGTTAGATGCACATAAATCCTGCGCTGTAGGCTGATGAAGCATACGTGTAACGGTGTTTGTCCTCTGTAATTCTGCCATGAACACAGCAGGTACACTCTTCTTCTTTTTACATGCCCGCCCGTTAGTCATAGTAAGCTTCCCATGCCAAAGTGCTGAGTGCTGTTACAGTATGTAATTCATACATTTACACATACATTGGCACTAAGGAAATGGCATGCCAACACACTTAGGTCACTTCAGATCCTGCTGCACTTCACTCCCTCATCTCTAATTTGGAAATTGAAGTGGGGGCTTTTACTGCCTATAGATCCCAGATTAAAACATCCCATCGGTCCATTTGTCACTCTCCATACTTAAGTCAGCACAGTCAGGAAAAGGAGGCCTGAGTGTTCCCTGGTGATGCTCTGTGGGAGCAGAGAGGCTGCAGTAATGGCGGTAGCTGACGTGCAGATTGCTTTTCTGGCTGAGAAATGAATCCATTGTGGGCCAGGTTCATTAAGGCTCTAATTGAATGCCGATGGTTACCCTGTTTGTTCTCATGTGTTAGTTATTGCTAGAACGGGCAGTGTTATTTGATCACAGGAGAGGTGTGTGTAGGTGTAGAGAGGGAGCTTATGCAGCACTTTACTTATCCAGTAATTATATGTCTTTTTAATGTTGATCTGGGCTGAGTTTTAATGTGTAGTCTGAGATTTAATGTGAAAGAATCTCGGGGCGCCAAAACAGTCATTGCATCACAAACTCAGCAAGACCTCCAGCAATTTTGTCCTCGGTAAAACATTTACGACGTGTAGGGAGCCTTGTGAATCCAGAGAACAACTGGCTCAAACATGAATTCTCCTTTTTGCTCCCTCACTCTGTCACTGTTAGTCTCGCAGTGGCTGTGCCTACAGACGGCACATTGAACTACAATCATTCACTTGCCCCTTTACTGCAGTTCTGCTCAACTGTGATGCTAGAACTTAAACAATACTTAGTTTGATCCATCTACCAATAGTTGGTTTGATTCATTAGTTAGTAGGTGTTAAAAGGTGACACATCTCAAACTGACTGAGCTCAGAGTGATGTTTTGACTTGCCTGCATTCAAAATCAACAAGTAAGTGTAGAATGTATGAAAAGTAGGAAAGCAACACATACTTTTTAGGCTTTGGGTTGATATTCTAATTGATTAATAGGTTGTTTCAGCACACACCGCTAGCAAGAGCTGCAGTAGTGTGTATTCTATATCATTATTTTTGCAAAAGTCCTAGAATGTCATAGTGTTTTGGATTTGAAGTCAAGGAAAGAAACCATAACATCAGGGTATGTGACACTATAAAAGAAAATACTCTAAAGCTTTTTTAAATATGTATAAACCTTGTGAATTTTAGTTTTTTGTTTGTTTCCCCATGTGTAAAGTGCAACCTAATCCTGTTTGCCAGAGAGGTAGAGAGGTATAGCCTCTAGCACTTTTTGGAAGTAGTGCCTTGATTCCAAAAAAGGTTTTGAAGTAAAGCTTTGAGCTTCAGAGCAAAGTCAGAGAGTGCTAGCCGCCTTTAAAGAATAATAAACTCATATTCTGCAGTCTGCTGAACGAAGCAACTATGATGTCAAATGTTTCACACCTGCATAAAACCCATCCTTTAAACTGCTCCCAAAAGAATAAACCACATAATTGAGGTGAGTCTTCTTGCTTAAGGTCAAACAAACAAATTACCACTGGTTCAGTTATTAATCTCTTGTCTTTTTTTAAATGCAGGCACAGGAACACCGGTAAAGACACACATACACACACATAAAAAAGATGTTGAGCGGGGATGAGAAAAACATTGAGAAAATTGACCAATCAGTGGGAGCCAGAGGGAGAATATATTAAGAGACTTTGTCTCAGACCGAGAACATTTGTTATAAAAATGCTCTGTCTCCAGATTTTCATTAAAAAAGGGCCAGTAGGCACCCATTTGTACAACCACGGAGTGTGTTTACTTGAACATTCCCTGACGACCATACAGTAATTAAAAAACATTTATATGTCACTTGGCAGGAAATGATCTTTCTCCTTGACTGGTAGGGACACAGACGGGGCATTAAAACAGAGCCAAGACGCCTCATCAGCCAGGCGTTAAGAGTCTGCAGCAGTGACCCCACCATGACTCAGCGTTACCTGGCTCACTATAGTGCTCCGAGGCTGATTAGAAACAACGCAGCTGCCTCATGGCTACCTTTTAAATCAGATAGGAAACACTGTTTTTACACCATCGTGTTTATTTTAGATTTGTTCGTATTCATCTATAATGCATGTTTGAGAAAAGGTTAGTTTCCATTCATGAACAATATAAAATGATAATTTATCAATATTTCTTCATTAGGGCTCATTGTCCATGCATGGACTTAAATGTGCACCATAGGAAGCCCTTGAGTTTTTATGTATGCACATATAGATTTCAGTGCCTTAGGCCATGTGAATAATATGATATAAGAAATATGAAATCTTGTTTTATTCAACAGTGAAGGTATTATTTTAACAAAGGTGTAATAAACTGTGGTTATCTAAAGCCGGAACAATGCTTCATACCCGTCAGCCTTTTTTTCTAAAAGTATATATTTTTTTATTTTGTGGGCATCGGCAGAAAACAATCTTTAATTGGACCACATTTAAACAAAGCACACAACTGGGACTAAAACCAAATACCATGGTTGTGGTTGAATGATAATTCAGTCATAGCAAATAACAAAGAAACAGTGTTTGTTTATTTTCACAGAAAATAGTAACACAGTTTCTTGAGGAAGTGACCATCATTTAGCAATGTTATGATAATGTTAGCTCAGCATTATTGGTTGGATATCTTCATTGTTTATGTTGTCTCTTTAGGGAAGTGATTACAAATATGAAGTGTCACGCTTTAATATGCAAACATATTTCCTAAAGTGTAGAAATGACTCACTTAGAATAGATTGAAACTTGACTTATGATATTTCATGCACTTAATGGATCACTGGCTAAGGGTGCTTTACTGAAAAATGTTCCATATAAATGTTTTACCCGGCAACATAATTACTTCTTAAAAGAAATATGTCTCCTCTTGAATTTAAATGTTCTTGATAGATCAAATCTTATATATGTGTAAAGAGACAGTTGAATTGGGATTTGATGAAAGCCGTTCTGCATGTCTTCTTCCCTTTTGGTGTACTGCCACTGTGGAAATCTACTCGTTAGAAAGTCTCAAAGCTACTTGGTAAATGTCAGTTTTGCACTAATTGACTTTTGATTCTATGTAAGTGTTCGACAAGGTAAACCAGAAATAATCTCACCAAGTTCCAATATTTGAAAATAAGTATTTGTCCAGATTCTGAAGCTAATTAAATCTCCCCAGCCTCCACTCATCAGCTCTCCTCTCATGTGCTGCGCCGCCAAGGAGCCACTGGCTTTGAGACACCGTTAGTTAAAAGCCCTTTCTGATGCAGCCATTTTAGCGCTGGTAGTCGAGGTCCACTGCTACAGTTCAGTCAGGACTCAGTGGGCTGTTAATGATTACAAAAGAGACCGCCATGTGCTCAAAGTCCTCTTGACTGAAAATAAACCAATTGAGATTAGGAATGGTATAACAAGTAGTTTGGCTGTAGTGCATGACAGTGATTTCAAGTGTATTGCATTGGTACTGGAGCTGTGTGTTCTGCATGCTAAATAATGAGTTTAAAAGTGGTCCATGGTGTAGATTCATATTAAATAAATGTTATGTGTTTAAATGTGAAATAATGCATTAACAGCTTCTCTAAATTGATAGAATCTAAAATGTGATTACATTTTTCATTTGGCGCATGAATACCTTTTTACTTGATGTATTTGTGTACACCAGCAGTCAAAAAGTCACATCAATCTATTTGACATGGAAAACAATCTTTTAAGCCCCAATGACAATTAAACAGTAAAGCCAGCACGTGAATAGTGTTGTGCGGCTAACTTGGTGCTTTGTTCCACACTGCTCCTTTTTAATAAGATCATGAATAAACATGAGAATAACTGGTGGATAAAAATGAACATTAAATGGTCAGATAAAAAGCCACACCAGCTGTGTTGACTAGGTTAATGTTAATGATGTTGTTTATCTTTGTATCTGCTATCCACAACTGCCGTGCAAAGATTTTAATTATGATTTATTCTCACTCTGTCTCTTTCTCCTTGTTTGCAGCGCGACATTGAGGCCAGGCCAAGGTAAGACTGCCAGTGTGATTCATTTCCACCCTTTCAAAACAGGATAGTTTAGCGGGCACTAAGGGCCCTTCATAACATCCTCACTCAGGTCATTGGTGCCATCAAACACCATGAGACTGTTGATTATCCAGCCTGCATAATAACACAAACACACCCTGCAAGTCTCTTGTAGTGACTCACTCGCGCAACTCACAAACTCACGACATACACAGAGTCCCCTAAACACACAAAGCCTCCAAACTTCAGCAGTCGCATGCGAGTCACGTCTGTGCCCCAGCGAGGCAATTAGTAGCTCTCATCTGTGTGTGCCTGTTGGAATCAGAAGAGGTGACAATCTGCCTGGTCCAATCAGAAAGCTATGCAGAGAGGCTGTGTGTGTGCTTATATGCATGCATACTCTATATGTGTGCACTTTAATAAGACAAGCTGTTTTGTCATTAGCGGGGTCAAGTCTCACGGTCTGATTTAGTAATACATTAATGAAGATGATTATGTGCAGGTATATGTGAAGGAAGTTAGCGACTAAACTTCGCCAAGAGGCTAAATAAGGCTCATCACTTTGACACATTCGAAAAACCATTACAAGAGACATTTATCAACAAAATGATAGCAAACAAAGTAGATAAAAAGCCTTTTTTAAATGTTTTATTTGACATGCAAGTTGGTCTCCAAGAAGGCGGGACAAGACAAAAAATGCTATTTGGGGGGGTTCGAGAGCTATTTGATATTTTATCAAATACTACTTTATTTCCTTTTTCTAAAACTCTTATTTACATTTTGGACAAGTATATAGGACAAGTATATTTAACAAGTATATTTAACGCAACAATTGCATGTTTCAGGATTTTGGGAATGAATTATTTTAAACTTCATAAGTGGGACACAAAATGTCTTCCAATTCTGGATTGACCCAGTTGTGTTTAGAATTAACAATTTATGAAAATTATAGAAATGATAAAACTAGGACATGAGCATCCATATTATTTTCCAGTTTTTTCCAGTATTCCAGTTGCGTTTACGGTTTGTTTGTGTAGTTTTTGCGACATCTTTGACCTTTTATCTCAGTCTGTGTCAGACAATCTGAACTGGATAGTCCTCTCCCAGTCTCAAAGTTATTGATCTGTTGACACGGAAACCCATCAGCCTCCTTCTCCTCAGTGCAGGAGCGCTCCTAGCACCACCTGCTGTCTCTGCCTCTCCTCCTGGCTGCCCCTCTGGGCTTTTATCTCTAAGTACTTCTCCTCTTCTCTAGACAAAGACACACACACACACACACACACTCAGACACCTTCATCAAATTTCAGCACATCTGTCCTCAGAGAAAAGAACCTTATTTTCTGTGGGACTTGATTTAAGATGAAGGCTGAATACTAAAATAATTCGGTGGGACTTTCTCTGCAAACAGAAATGTTATGTTTTATTTCACTTTGTGCTATTGATATTGCGGCGCTGCCTGCTTGTGGGAAATGTACTGTATTTCCTCTCTGGAGTGTAATGTGCCTTTCTTTTAATAAGCAGAGAAAGTCACGACTATGGCTGGCGCACAGTGCCAACATGTAATATGTTATTGATTGGGCAGCCAGTATTATAACCCCGCTCTGCAGCAGATGGCAGCGAGCTTGGACCCAAGGGTGAGATGGAGCTAATAGTTTGTCCTTGGCCAAGGTTAACCTCGACATCTCTGCACAAACACACTCTCGGAAATAATTACTCCCAAAGATCCCGGCCTTGCCCTTGAATGTAGTGGGGGCAGATTATACTGTAGCTAGTGGAAGATGACACTCTTTGAAGAGACATACTAGGAAAATGTACGTTTTTGAGAGGTTAGTAGAAATGATAAAAGTGAATTCTGGAGAGCTTCGTTCGTGAGTTTATTATGGTGCTTAAGCTGTAGAGACGGGACATGTGAAATGTTTGAAGGGTAAACAAACAAAGGAGATATCCTGTCTTTGGAAAGGAGATGAAAGAGAAATGAGTGGAAGGAAAAAGAAAGGATAACGATTGTGCAGGATCAAGTGAGGAGTGGTTGTTTTCTGGTTTTGTGCAATGGGATCCAGACAGCAAATTGATTATGGAGCAGAAACACTAATCCGCTGTCTGAGCCCCATATCGCCGCTGTAGACGGAGCTTCCCCAGGGGACAACAATCCTGCACCCACACGCTTCTTTCCTGCACTTCCTCATCAATACCATCCCCCTCCTCTCCCCGAGCCTCTTAACATAGGTACTCCATGCCTGCCAAGATGTGTCCTCCTCCGAATATAAATCTTGCTTAACTCCCCTCAGCCCAACCGTCTCACTGCTGCCTCTAATGTGATGCATTGCAAATGTCACTTGCCTTCCTCGGCTTTAACCCACTCACCTCCCCTGCAACCCCTGTCCCTGATGTGCGCCTCTTTTACATGTTTTTGAATGTCTATGTGTTTGTCTCTTTATTTGCATGTGTGTATTTGTATGCACGTAAGAGCCTAATAGAGGTAAACCAGAACAGTGTTTATCATCTAGCCTTATTAGGCTGTTGCAATCCTTTGAAAATCAATGTTGTGTGTATGCACGCAATAATGTTTGTTTGAACTGTTGGGTTATGCTTATTCCATGGTGAATTATAATTCTATATTTTCAATTTTAATTAGGGGAGTAATTATTAAATGTAGCACTTACATTTTTTTATATCTCTCATAGTTCACGCCTCCCTTCGTTATTTCAGGAGGTACACCGTTCATTAGCTTTTATATTGTACAGTCTGAGCCCTTTTTGATCACATAGGGACTTGGTAAATCAGGAGTCACCATGCCACTGATCAAAAGATGAGAGCGTCTTCACACACACACACACACACACACACACACACACACACACACACACACACACACACACACACACACACACACACACACACACACACACACACACACACACACACACAGGAAGGATGGGTATAACTGGCTGGTTTCTGCAGAAGAGCTTTAAGTCCAGAAAGCCAATTTAAAGTTGTCTCCTGAGATATGACACATAAGGGAGAATTGATGTAAAGACAATGAGAGAAAAAGAGAAGTGCACTAAGGAATTGTGCTTGTTAAACTGAAATGTGCTGCTCTGTTGGGACTTGGGAAGATTTAAGGAGATTCATCGAATAAATTATTTGTATTGTGGCTTCTATGACTTTAAGTCTTTATCTCTGAAGCTTCGGACCAAGAGAAGTCTCTCTGATACTCTTCAAATAAGTGTTTCATCCTTTTCTGTAAGTTGGTTAGAAGTAACAATCAAATATAGTTCAAAGTCACTTATCAGTCTCCTTTTCACCAAGTCGCTGTGATATTAGCAACATTATTGTACAAACATTAAGACTTACAGCAGGACCTCCTGTATTCTTAAGCTACTAACCATTTGCCCTAAGTGGCAACTCATTTCTGCCCACTTATAACTCTGTTGCGTTTATTTCAACTTGATTCCAACAGAGATGTGTTTACCTGACAGATATGCAATACATACACTGCATATATTAGACTCATAAACACTTTAAACGTTTATCCTTTGAGCTAATATTTGACGCTCAGATGGATGATGCTCAAAGAATTGCATGACCGATTGTCTTCAGTAGTAAATACCTTCTAAGAAAGGTTTTTGTTCTGTTGTAAAGCCTACTTGTACGCAGTGCAGGGCAAACTACGGTACAAATGCACAGTGGAATGAATAGAGCAGATCATATGTAGATTATAAGGGGCATCTGTGTGGGTGCATCACACACTCACTTTGCACCCGCTTCTGCTTATTATTCTTTTGAAAAATCTGCCTTCTTATCTGAATCAGGTTTATTTTATTTAGACAGAAAGAGAGAAATGATTTAAACAAAAGACATAAGAAATGCAAACTGTGAAACCCCCAGAGCTTACTGTAGAAAAACATGTCACACAGAAAGAAGAAAGAGAAGGGACGTGTGTCGAGAAGAATCGTTAGAAAACAGCAAAATGCATATATATGAAATGAAAGGGAAAAAATAGGCATGAATACATTTAATGGAAGAAAAGTGGAAACGTCGGTTGACAGTAACTGTATCTGATCTCCTGAACATAAAAACTTCAGCTGGTTAAGTTGTTAAGAGCTGAAATCCGCCCCAAGAACGCTAAATCTATAAGAATAAAAACTCTGAATTAAGAAAAGGTAAAGCTTTGCGACATGTGGCAAGAGTGACGGAGGCGTTCTGAGCATATAAATCACACAGTGTAATCACACTTAAAGGGTACAGCTTGCTGGGAAGCGTAGCACTTCTAATTACAATGGTGAGTTCCCCCCCATTCATTTTGCCAATCACTCACGTCTGGGCTGTATCTCCAGAGCTCCCGTCCCCTGCTTCACTCACTCTATCATGCCTGGAACACACAGGTACACACACACACACATCTGAAAGTTGGCAGATTAAAGCTCTTAATTTCCCTCCATATTCTTTTCATTTCCTTTCAGATTCTCTCTAACATATGCTCACATATTATGCATACATTACAATATTTTACAATTTTATGAATAATGTGCTCCACAACCACAATTAATAGCGTCTCTGACTCATATAACCATACATGTCCTGTCGTTTAGAAATGGTCCCAATTCCCTCGTTATGATCTGCCATCATCGCCCGCCCGCTGACAGAGAAGAGCAATGGGGCAAATCGCTCACTATTTCTGTCTGAGTGAAGGCTGTAGACCACCCTCAATCACGGTGTACGCACACCAACTCAAGGAAAATGGGGTGACAGCAGGAAAGCAAAGCAGGGGTGCTTTGGGGACACAGCTTATCTTTTCGTGCGTGCTGCCTGCCCTTGCCTGGGTCGTATAGATTGGTTGAGTGAAGCAGGGGGGGTGTCAAGGGAGCAAGGCCAGAGGACACAGGACAGAGCCCGGAGAGGAGGGCATGGAGGGAGAGAGCTACTTCTTCATTTAATGAAAAATGTACATCGCCTGTAAAAAAAAGCAGCCACTACAAGCCCTCGTGTGTGTGTGTGTGTGT